GCTTGGTGTGAAACAGATGGCTTGGTTTATCCTAAGTATAACTGAATATAAGATAAGCAACATCATAGGCCATATCTATACTGGAAAGTATCTTCAAATAATATTTTTTTAAAAACAGTTTCCTTCTCTTTAGATTATCCATCCAGCTCTTTCAGAGTATGGAGGGGCTTCGAAGTCTAAGAGAAGACCCTGGATAAACATTATTCTGGCATGTTATACAATTTTCCCCTGTTCTGTTTTCCCTTCTTATACTCATGAATTGTAAGTATTTAGGAGCTTGTAAGCTTTCCCAGATTCACACCAATTCCCCAATGGATTAAACCTCAGCCATACATAATCTAAAGGATGAAAAAGATGGCAAAACAACTTTCCTATTCAAAATCCAATGCAAACAAACCCCTGGGGAGCAACTTGGACAACAGCACCTCAAGAGTTTACCTCAGGGGTGGTTGTCAACACTTACCAGAGTCAATTCAAGAGACTTTTTCAGCAGCTTTAGAACAAAAAGTCATCTTAAAAAGATTACCAACTAACACAACCACTAAGCTTAGCCACTGTTTGTAGAATCCAAGTCAAATGAAGGCAGCTGAGCATGCTCAAAAAGAGACAGTAGTTACAAAACAGAGAGGAAGGACAGAAAAGAAAGATGCAGGAAAAAGAGGAAGGGAGGGAGGGAGGAAAAAAAGGGAGGGAGGGGAGGGAAGGAGGTATGGACGGTAAAGAGAGCAAAAGGATTGAAATCAGACAGAAAACTTCAATAAGAGAAGGAAAAACATTTTCTACACTGCAAGTGTAAGTGCTCAACTTTCAGAACTAGAGGCTGTAGCATCATCTCAACAGCTTCAAAATCTATGACAATATGAGCTCTCTCTTTCTCTCTCTCTCTCTCTCTCTCTCTCTCTCTCTCTCTCTCTCTCAAAAGCCATCATTAATTCTGTTTTGACAGGTGGTCTTCCAATGACCATGTTCTCAACTCACTACCCAAAGCTTCTACCATTATATGTCCTCTCCTTTCCTTTACTTACTTGGAGGTTTTCAATGTTTTCTTTGTAGATTTCACAGGGATGGCAACTACTTAAAGCTTTTCTCACTTCTTGGGAAAATTTCTTTCAGAGGAAGTAACCCTGGGTGCCACTAATTGGCTTTGCATAGCAGTAGGCAAATGTAGTCTTAAAGTAACCATGACATTGTTTGCCAAAGAGCTCTAACACAGATTACCAGGAATTGCAGGGCTGGGGACCTTGCATGTGTTTCTATAACTAATTTTAAACACGACGTGGTAATTCACAGAAGTATCCCAATACTTTTCTAAGCAACTTCCTGTTTCTTCTTCTTTAGACATTCACTTCAAGTTCTTGCAAACTCCATGCTGGTGTTTCTAAGTTCTTTAGTGAGAATGTTAATATTCATCACAAATTGATTGGACTGATAAAGTAAGTTCTAAACTTTGCCAAGAAAAAGGAAAAAATGAACTTCTGGTATTTCTTCAAAATCAGTTGCCTCTAGGAATTTCCTGTACCATGCTCAAATAAGTTTTAATCCAATAGTATATTATTTTGACTGACCTTGTACATATTTCTTAAAAGACGGATTAAGAGATGTTTTGCCAAATAGATCGTTTTCGTGATAAAAAATGTTTAAAAAGAAGAAAACGCCTGTTTGGGGTACAGCACTCAGATCACTTGAATTTTTAAAACCCAAGTTTTTGGTACCAGTCTACAGGTTTATAGTGAGATGCAGAGCCGACAGTTCATGCTGATTTAACAATTCCTTTGGGTTATGTAATACATACTATTTTCCTGATAATAAGTTGTAAGGAGTAGCATTTTTGCTGTATTGACATGGCCTGGCCAAGAAAAACAAGGAAAAGAAATTGCATTCAAAAAACTGGCAAAATGTGTATGAATTCTAATCCTCTGCACATGAATAAATACATCTGACAAAGTGCAGAGTCCCTCAAAAAGGCCCTTCTTGACCTTTCTAATTTGAGTTCAATTGCACGTTCAGTGTTGAGAAGCCAGAGTCGATTCTGCCAATGTTTTAAGCTCAAGCTTTACTACATTGTGTTATTTGTAAAAGTGAAATCTCAGAAAATAACTTATAATTGCTCTATTAATCTCTTGAAAAGGAGGTTTGGAGGGAAGTTGGAATTTGAAATTACAATAATTAGTACATGAAAGATGTATTTTTTATTTTCTTACCTAGCAATTACCACATAAAACTGCTGTGAAAACTTGATGCATGCTCTTTTTTAAGTGGTAAGGTACATGCAATATGCCCTATATATATTCCTTTTTCTAAAGGAATGAAATTTAAAACTTCAATGTAGTTGTGATGAACTTTGACCTGCAAAAAAGTACCAAAAACAAGGCCTTGAATTATAAATTATATTGTCAATGAAAGTGAGAAGAACTCTTTGTTTCTTAAGTTGTTTCAAGTACTACATTTTCATTTCCTTTTACCAAATGAATTATAATGTACAACACACTTGTATTTTTCTTCCATTTTTCATTTTTAAAATCCTTCTTTCTCATAACTTTATATCTCCATGTGCAGATAGATCTGACACAATAAAATTTATCTTTCAATGTTCAATGTACCAATTCCATCTGTCATCCTTAAAGTATTTGTGGAAAATCTATATTTGTGCTTAGGCTCCTATGAAACCTTAGCAAATACAGGAATACATACATTATTTAAACTTTCCTCTAGTTCACATTGAACAATTTTAGGCTGTGCATGTGCAATTAAAGATGGTCAACCTAAAGACAAGATGGTATTTAGGGCATTATAACCACTATATCAAAGTTATTATGAGACATCCAGTGAATTAAAGTCAACTAAATTGTCAATATAGCCAAAAAGTACAATTTTGGTTATCACTTTCTCAATTTTTTTTTAAAGCAATCTCTATACCACATGGGCAGGAATAAGATTGACCAGTGAAGCTGGGCATCAGTGGCTCACACCTGTAATCCTAGCTACTCAGGAGGCAGAGATCAGGAGGATTACAGTTTGAAGCCAGCCTGAGGCAAATAGTTTTGAGACCCTATCTCAACAAAACCCATCACAAAAAAAAGGGATGGCAGAGTGGCTTGAGCAGTAAGTGTGCCTACTTAGCAAGTGTGAGGCCCTGAGTTCAAATCCCAGTGCCACCAAAAATAATTGGCCAGTGATACTTTCATCCCCTCTTCTATCTCAGGCCTGGTCTTAAAGAAAGAGATCACAGGAGAGATTATCTCACTCTAATTGGAAACGTTCTCTTGGAAGAACAGAGCTGAGCCAAATTCAGAGATAATAAGAGCAAATAGAGATTTTCATTTGAATGGATTTGTTCAAAAAGAGCCACTATAATCCATAATTTCCTTCCATATAGTTGGAAAAGTAGTTTGCTTTTGTAGCCTGATAACATTTCTTTCTGGACAGATCATCCACAGAGCCACAATCCACAACCTACTCTGATTTTTTGCACATCTCGTAAAAGCCCTAGTAACTCTAATATTAAAACCAGTCTGCTTCTCTAAAATCTTTCCAGAGTATTTAAAATTAAAAAAAAAACCTTATCTGGTAGGCAGGCAGAGGAGCCCAACATTAACTGATAAAATAGAACATTTAGTTTTGGCACTCCTTTATTGCCATACACACACACACACACACACACACACACACACCACATACACACACACATCCAATAAGAATCACAGAAAGACTAATGTTTAGAAAATCTTTGACACTTTTGAATAATGTGTGATTTGAAACAGCAGTCTCTTGTCAACTCCAATTATTAGGCAATTATACCTTGTATGTTACTATGCTCTCTAAAATTAGACCACAGACTTAAGTTCTTGAGATGTACTCAAATTTTCTAATGTTTTTCTTTCAAATTAAATGTACATACTGGCTTCAATAAATACATCAAAATAATCATGCTGAAGCACTAAAGGTTTGTAAATAACTATCACAATAAAAGTTAAGTGTTCAATATGTGCAAGGTCTACTTTTTCCATAAATACTATAAGCAAAGGTGTATGATACAATTTAAAAATATGAATAACAAATTCTAAAATAGACTTTGTGCATGCTTATTTTATAAGTAGTGTCATTTTCAATGTGATCATAACACTACCATACTTTCACTCTGGTGGCAACTGAATTATAATATTAATGAATACATAAAAACATTGAAATATTTGCTGAGTTGCAATTAATCCAAAAATGTAGTCATCATCTGAACTTAAACCTCATAGCAATCAGATCTGAAGTCTGTCTGCAGAGTGTCAAAACAATGTGTTGCAATTTAGATAATGTGATACGAAAGGAAAAAGAATGACCTCTGGCCATTCAGTCTCAGTATTAAAGCCTTACATCTAATGCATTTTGGCTGCATGCCTTTCAATGGATTGGTCCACTTTTTTAATATTCATCATTACCATCTGTAACATGGAAATATTATCTACCGTCTAGCATGGAGAATTCTTAAATGCTGACAAATATAGTTTATTAATATTTTTAAAGGAATCATTTTTCTGAGTTAACAATCCTATAGGAAATCTCAAAACAATTTAAGTTCAATTCTTATTAAATGTTTCAATGCTCAGATTTTTTTATTTTATTTTTTATTTTTTGGCAGCACTGAGGTTTGAACTCACAGCTTCATGCTTGCTATGCCAGTACTGTTACCACTTGAGCTACTCTGCCAGCCCTTTCAATGCTCAGTTGATTGGGTCATTAGACAAAAACATTCTTCTTCCCAAGGGTTATTTTTATCCATTTTGAATTGTACAAATAACCTGATTGAAGGGTGTGCTATGTTGATTGTCTTCTTGGGAAATGGTTATATAGCATATAACATGACAGCATATGAAGTTCTCTTATTTAAGGATTGCCTATTTTCTTAATGATAAGAGCAAAGATTAAACTTTCTGAATTCATGGGATAAAGAAAAGACTTGAAAAAGATGCATGCATATACTCCTGGTCCTCTGTACTTCTAACTTTTACCTCATTTCCTAGAAGGGCATTTACACAAGCTTCTGATGCATCACAGATGGCTGTGAGATCATGTCCTCCTTCTAGAGCCAACACCACACGTCCATCCGCCAATGTCATCAATTGCTTCGTCAAATGACCAAAGCCTACCGTAATATAAACAGAACATTTCAAAGTATTAAATCAAGAGAAAATAACCCCTGGAATTTAACATCGATTGAGCATTTATTCTGTGCAAGTTCTTTCTCAGCACTTTCCAGTGCTAACTCATTGAACACATAATTCTATGGCTTGGTTCCTTTATTGCCTCTATTTTACAGATGAGAGAACTAAAAGTCCAAGATCCCACAATTAAGAAATATCACCACCAAGATTTGTACCATCCAGTCTGGCTCTTCATCAGTATACAGTACAGTCTCACATAACACATTCTGTAAGCATTTGGATGAAAAACTTGAATATTACTGAGCTAATGTGAACGAGGCAAACTCCCATTTGCTTAACACATGTTGTCTCCATCATTTGCCTTTACTTTTAAAGGAAAGTTTCTAAACCTCATATCAAGTTGCTTTACTATTACATTAGATTTTTTATAGATTTTTTTATTATGAAATATTTGATAAGTGCAAAAACATAAATAACATCTATATAAGTTATAAATACAACTCATTTTCTATCTTCATCTTCTATCTTAAGGAAAATGATATTACAATACTGTTGAAACACACTGGATGCAACCGTCTGATACCATCAGTCCTCCTCCCTGTTGGGAAATCAGGATCTTCAGTTTATATGTTATAACAATGCTATTGCTTTCTTTTGCTTAATTTGCTTAATTTTAAACTTTATAAAATAGTTCTATACTTTTGCAGCTTGCTATTCTCATGCATTTTGTTAGTGTATCTCTGTTGATGTATGTCGCTATAGTTCTTTACTGCCTTACAGGCTGAATTTATGTCTATGGAACTTATTTGTCCACTTTATTGACAGATATTTGTTTTTGCTATTGTTACAAAAGTTCTAGTTTCTTTGTTATTACAAACGATGTTGCCACGAATATTCATATGCAAGTCTTCTGGTGCACATCTGCAAGAATGGTCTGAAATTGTTGAGTTAAAAACTGCTAAATAATGCCAGATTATTTCCAAAAAGCTATTACCATCCCCCACACTTAGAAGCTGTATATGTAAGAATTCCATTTTAGTCACATCCTTGCCAACATTTGGTATGATTTGCTAAGAGGGTGGATGAATAATGGCATCTTACTGTGGTTTCATTCAGTATAAGGAAGAAGCTTTCTATTTCTAGTTTGAATTGGAGTTTTATTTAGATGGCTATAGAATTTGGTTTCTTTCTTTACAAAGATGAGTTTTTCCTACAACTTAGTAGAATAGTGAATTACATTAATTAATATTTCTAATATTAAGCCATCAATGTATTTATGGGGTAAAATAGCTTGTTCATGATATATTATCTTTTTAGTATACATTTAAATTCATTTTACTAATGCTTGGGTTAGGATTTTTTTTTTTGCCTATGTTCATGAAAGGTGTTAATTGTGGAATTTTCCAGTTATATTGACATGTTGAACTTTGATATAGTTTAGAGCCTAGTTTTTCTTTATCTGCTCTAGAATATTAGATAGACATCTCCTGTAAAGCCATTTTGGTCTTTGTTGTCTCTCTCTCTCTCTCTCTCTCTCTCTCTCTCTCTCTCTCTCTCTCTCATTCTGGTGGTACTGGGGCTTGAACTCTGTGCCTCCTGCTTTCTAGAGAAGTGTTCTATCACCTGAGCTACAGCCCAAGCCTTTGTGTTCTCTTTGAGGAAGTTTTTAACTATCAATTAAAGTTTTTAGAAATTATAGAACTACTCATGCTTTCTCTATCTTACTGACTTCTATTTTTCTAGGTATTTGTTCCTTTTACTTAGGTGTTTAAATTTACTAAAATGAAATTGTTTGTTTCCTCTTTTTAATTTTGGAATTCCGATTACCTATATGTAGACTTTGTCACTCAAGTCTTGTCTCTTAAGATCTCTTTCATGTCTTCCATATCTCCTTCTGTCCTGCACTATGTGTACATTTACTCGGATCCACCTTCCAAAATTTCTCTCTCAGATGCCTCCAATCTTCTTTTTCATACCTGTATTTTTTTTTCATTTCAGTAATTGGATTGTTGAAGTCTAGAATTTTTCTTTGGTTATATTTTAGAGCTTCCTAGTTATTTTTATCGTTTCTTACTTTTCTCATGTTCTTATTTGTTCCTTTTATTTCCTTCAGCATCATTATTATATATTCTATATTTGATATTTTAATTTTTTCAATTTATCTTGCTATTTGTTATTACTGCTTATTCGTACTCATGATTCCCTCAACTTTCTTTTCTGTTTCTCTGTTTTCTGACTTTTTTCTCTTTTTTGAATTTTGAGTTTATATTCAATGAAACTTTATATTTGCGAGAACTATGAAGCCTGGTGTAATGATCTGAATGATGGTACCACATCTCCAGAATTCACCCAATTCAAATGCTTATGTTGAAATTCTAGCCATGAAGTGGTGGTATTTGGAAATGGGTCTTTGGATAATTAGGTGGAGTCCTTGTGAATATAATTAGTGCCTCTATAAAAGAGATCCCAGAGAGTTTTCTGCCACATGAAGATACAAGGAGAAATCATCTGTCTACAATCTAGTTAGAAGACCTTTATCAGAACCTAACCATGCTGGTACTGTGGTGTTAGATTTATAGCCTCCAGAATGGCAAGAAATAAATTTCTGTTGTTTACAAGTTATCATTCTATGATACTTTGTTATAGCAGTCTTAACTGAATTAGAGACTTGGGTTAAGTAGAATGTGATTTTGTTTGCCTCTGCTGGACATTCGTGACACTATTATCTAGAATCCCTTCTAAATTCTTAGATTGCAGAACTAGTTGTAGGGCTTATTTTTTTGTTAGTTTTTGCACATGTATTATAAATATGGAATTGAAAACCTGATTGCAAACTCTCAGAAGAAAGAAACTCAGTTTCTTCTTCTTCTTCCTCTTCTTCTTCTTCTCCTTCTTCTTCTACTACTACTACTATTTCTTCTCCTCCTCTTCTTTTCCCTTCTTCTCCTCCTCTTCTTTTTCCTTCTCCTCTTTCTTCTTTTTCCTTCTCCTCTTTCTTCTTTCTATTTCACTTCCTTTCTTCTTCCTTCTTTTCTTTCTTTCTTCCTGTCTCTCTCTCTTTCAAAATTTCCTCTATTGATAGTGATAGCTAAGATAGATTTATCACTTTTTCAGCAGTATTTTCTCCTAGTCATCCTTTTCTCAGGAGTTGGTCCTTTGCCATTCTTTTCTTTTTTCTGATATTTAATCAAATTTGCTTCCCCTTATGGATTCCAGGCTTCAACTCTCTTTCCCAGTATGAAGAAACTGTCAATGTTCAAGCTCAAGCTAAATGCACATTTGGGGATAGATATCCCAGGATGCCACAACTTCTGTACTCACTCACATTCCCTCATCCTTTAGAAAGTCTTCCATAAATTTAAGAGTGGTTTTTATATTTAATTAAGAATTTTGAGATATTTTAATGTAGGAACATTTCTAGGTATGTAATATCTCATACTGCCAAATTTGAACATTGTTTATTCAATATTTCAAAAATTTAGCATTGTATCCAAACCTAACCAATTCCAGGTATAATTAATTGCAAAATAGGATAAATGAAAATAAAGAAGAACACGTGTGTCAATTCAACACTTTATATGTCTTATGAACTTATAGGAAATAAACATTTAATTTTTAAACCAAGTACTTTTTATAGTTAATAGACTTTATTTTTCAGCAAAGTTTGGAGTTCACAGAGAAATAAAGCAAAAGGTACAGAGTGGCCACATACACCTCTCCTTTTCCTATTATTAGTGTCCTATATTAGTAGTTCCCATTTGTTATAATTTACATTTATACACTATTATTAACTAAAGTCCATGGTTTAGGAGGTTGTATAATTCTGTAGATTTTGACAAATGCTTAATGTCGTACATTCACATTGTAGTATTATATGAAATAGTCTCAATTGACCTAAAAATCACTGTGCTCCACCCATCCATCTCTTGTCTCTGCTCCTCAATTCTGGCAATTGATAATCTTTGTTTCTATAGTTTTGTTATGTACTTTTTCAATATTTCAGTTAATTAAAAAATTATCTACTTAGCCAGGCACTAGTGGCTCACGCCTGCAATCCTAGCGACTCAGGAGGCAAAGAGTAGAAAGATCACATTTGGAAGCCAGCCCAGGCAAATAGTTTGCAAGATCCTATCTCGAAAACACCCATCACAAAACAAGGGCTGGTGGAGTAGGTCAAGGTGTAGCCTGAGTTCAAGCCCCAATACCACACACACACAAAAAAAAACTTCTTACACATTCAAAATTAGAAAAGACATGACTTAATCTTCTCTCACTTATACAACATTTATAACATTTGAAACATATGTATATTTACATATCTATCAAACCATGAACACTTGGAAGAATAAACTTGAATATGGAAGTGCATAATGCTTTGCCAACGGAACTGAGCTGTTTTTAAATCTGAGTTTAGCTTTCTCTTAAGTATGGTAGTCTTATGTTTGAAAAGAAAAGAAACCCCCAGTATATAATTAGTAGAAACCAAACCTAAACTAAACTACTTCCATTTTGGAACAATAAAATAGTATGTATTAATTTTTGGACTGCATTAAGATATCCACCGATAAACAACTGCGAGAGTTTCAGTTCTGGTTTAGCACTTGAGGTTATTCATGAACAGGAAGAGATATTTTCCCAACTACTATCCTAAAGCACTTTAATGCTGATTCTAATTACTATCTACTATTTGGGTGAAAGTCAAAATAGTCACTTTATAAATATACCATATTTTTAAATACTTGGCAAAAAATTCTTAAAAGGATTTTAAAATTCAGGTCAACACAATTTTTCTAGCATTTCAGTATTTCTTCTTGTGGACTTCAAGAAAATAAGAAATTTACATGCCACTTAAGAATAAGTCTGAACACATTAAAACTCTACCTTATTATTCAATGACTATAAAAGCAATGATAACTGTTCAGAAAATTAGTAAAGCAAAGTTTTGGTCCTAATGCTTAAAAATGTTCTTTGTCTAAGTCAA